GAAGACTTAACCAGCAAACTTCAAACTTTAGCCTCTGGAAATTTCTTGCTCCTGCACTAAGTTTCAAGAGTGCATCAATATCCAAGCACAGCTGATTAATATCAGCTGGAAGATTCTAGAGCCCCTTCCTAAATCCACTGTGCACAGTGTATATGCTGCAGCCGCCCAGATTCACAAAGCCAGGGAATTCAGTATGGTCTTCTTTGATTAATTGTCCTAACATGTGAAAAATAGTTTTATTCACATTTGTCCTATCTCATAATAAGATGCACAGTTTCTCAATAGGCAAGTGAACTTCAATAAACTGGAGTCAGTATTATTGTTGAAACAACCTTCTTTCCTTCAGCATAGCCAAGCAACAGTGACGTGTAATATGCTGCCCACACTTCACTGTACATTGGTGCCCAATTTCTGATAGTTATATCCATCTGCCTCTTGATCTCAGAAGTGATAGCTCCATCAAAATGAAAACTGAATAACAGCCTTGATGTTCAAGTGTGATCTACTAGTATTCTAGTGAAAGGCTGAAAGCCATCCTTATTCAAATAGGAAGTACATACTTATTTAACAGATTAAATTTTGGACAGTGATAAACATCTACAGAGTACCACAGTCAAACATTAGATGTTTTAGTGAAAACCTAGGAAGTATGATAACTGATGCACACATGAATAAAGATCACTTACTACTCTCAGGTGACTTCAATATAAATCTCCTGCAAGACCAGGACCCACACGTTACTGAATTCACAAACACTATGAGTAACTGCTTGTTGCTACCAACAGTAACAAAACCTACAAGAGTTACAGAGACTAGTGTTTCCCTACTAGACCACATCTGGACCAACACCATATCCCCTTTAAAATCAAGCATAATCACAGATAATACCACAGACCACTACCCTACCTTTCTCATAACTAATTTAGGTAAATTACCCCAAGACACTATTAAAGTCACTTTCAGACTTCATAATGAGGTAGCCATTAATAACCTCACAACAGCTATGACAAACATCGACTGGCATACTGAGCTAGAAATCTATACAGATACTGACGAATGTATTAATAATTTTCTAAAAAAGACCCAATACCTCTATAACAAGCACTGCCCTAAAAAACTAAACAGATCACAGCTAAGAGACTGAACAGTCCCTGGCTAACACCCAGCATCCTCAAATCCATAAATACAAAGCACCTATACGAAAAACAGTACAGAATGGGTCACATAACCAGAGACCAAACAAAACATCACTCATCAATCCTAACCAGCCTGATAAGAAGGGCTAAAAATTGTATTATGAGAACAGATTATCCAACTTAAAAGGTGATATAAATAAGAACTGGAAAACCCTATCAGAAACTCTAGGAACAAAAAAGATATCAGGAAATAGCACAACTGAACTAATAAAACCAGATGAAACCCAACTCTCACCAACTGAAACAGCAAACAGACTCAATGTTTTCTTCTCCACCATAGGAAAAAACCTTGCCGATAAAATCCCAAGCTCAAATACCCCACCCAATGACTACCTCACTGGCAACTACCCGAACACACTGTTCCTAGCTCTGACTGACCCAACAGAAGTCTCCCTTATTATCAACACACTAAAAAAACAAGACAGGAGATTTAATACCTTACCACCCTTTATATACAAAAAAAACTGCCCAAGACTGTTCAACAGCCTCCCACCAGCAATAAGGGGCATTACGGGAAGACCCCTGGTTGTCTTCAAGAGGGAGCTGGACAGATACCTAAAGACGGTGCCAGATCAGCCGGACTGTGGTTCGTACATTGGATTGCGTGCAGCCAGCAGTAACAGCCTCGTTGATCAGGCCCTGATCCACAGGCAGGCCTGGTCGTGGACCGGGCCGTGGGGGCGTTGATCCCCAGGTAAATGCTGTCACCAATCATTGCAACACTCTTTAACAAATCCATCGAATCCTCTACCTTCCCTATAGTTCTCAAAATAACGAGGGTCACCCCGATACATAAAGGAGTAGACCAAACAGGCGTGAATAACTATAGACCAATATCCAACTTACACCCTCTCTCTAATATCTTTGGAAAATTAATTCATAAGCGAATCTATTCCTACCTCATCTCCCACAACATACTCAACCCCTGTCAGTTTGGGTTCAGGCCTAATAAAAATACGAATGATGCTATTATACACATGCTTACACAAATATACACTGCACTTGAGAAAAAAGAAGTCCCACTGGGGATCTTCATTGATTTACATAAGAACATAAGAACGAAGGAACACTGCAGAAGGCCTACTGGCCCATGCGAGGCAGGTCCAAGTCTCCTACCGGCTTAAGCCAATGCACCCAACCTAGTCAGGTCAGGTCACATTGACTTAAGGGAGGAACACGGCAACCGACCTGGTAGCACAAGCTATTAGGTCCAACTCACACCCACCCACATCCACTCATGTATTTATCCAACCTATTTTTAAAGCTACACAACGTTGTGGCCTCTATAACTGTACTCGGGAGTTTGTTCCACTCATCCACAACTCTATTACCAAACCAGTACTTTCCTATATCCTTCCTGAATCTGAATTTTTCCAACTTAAAACCATTGCTGCGAGTCCTGTCTAGGCTAGATATTTTCAGCACACTATTTACATCCCCTTTATTTATTCCTGTCTTCCATTTATACACCTCAATCATATCCCCCCTAATTCTACGTCTTTCTAGAGAGTGCAGATTCAGGGCCCTTAGTCTATCCTCATAGGGAAGGTTTCTGATACACGTAAAGCTTTTGATACAGTTGACCATGATTTGCTCCACATAAAATTGTCACACTATGGTACAAGAGGGCACTCCCTCAACTACCTAAAGTCATACCTCAGCAACAAAGCCAATACAGTGGACCCCCGGTTAACGATATTTTTTCATTCCAGAAGTGTGTTCAGGTGCCAGTACTGACCGAATTTGTTCCCATAAGGAATATTGTGAAGTAGATTAGTCCATTTCAGACCCCCAAACATACATGTACAAACGCACTTACATAAATACACTTGCATAATTGGTCGCATTGGGAGGTGATCGTTAAGCGGGGGTCCACTGTATGTGTACACAAATGGAACAAACTCTTCCACACAGCCAATTACAGTTGGTGTCCCACAGGGAAGTGTCCTTGGCCTTCTTCTCTTTCTCATTTACATAAATGACTTACCAAATGCATCGCAACTACTCAAACCCACACATTCAGATGACACTACATACGTCTATCCTCACCCAAGCCCAGTCAGCTAGCCCCAATACGTAAATACCGAATACAGAGATATCCACCTGGATGATGACTAACAAACTTACTCTCAACACTGACAAAACCTACTTCATTCAGTTTGGAAACATAGCTACAGATGTCCCTCTTAACATAATGATAAACGGATCACCTATCACAAAGCTCACAGAGGGAAAATTCTTAGGAATTGTTCCACAGTCAGCCCTCCTGGCCCTTTATCACTCACTCATTTACCCCTATCTTACCTATGGAATTTGTGCATGGAGCTCAACAACAATAAACCATTTCAGACCATTAATTATCCAACAAAAGGCTGCAATCAGAATGATAACAAATTCCCACTACAGGCAGCACACTCCACCAATATTCAAAACTCTAAACCTACTCACCTTACAAAACATCCATACTTATTATTGTACCTACTACATAGTACATAGAACACTTAACTCGGATATAAACCCTCCCCTCAAACGTCTCCTTACCAACCTCAACAGAACACATGACCATAACACAAGGCACAGATCACTCTTTGATGTTCCTTGTGTCCATCTCACACTATGCAAAAACTCAATGCACATAAAAGGCCCAAAAATCTGGAATTCATTACCTGTGAACATAAAAGAAACACTGTCTGTTTATAAATTCAAGTCTCTTCTTAAAAACCACTTACTCACCCACAACTAAATAAATACTGCATAACTGTATCTCATAAATTATAACTTGTGACCCTATCAAACTTTGTTTTTTTTTAATTACATTACCTACTAGAATATTCCATTCTCTTGAATGCACAGTAACTCATCAAATGACCATATGATCTGTCTTTGAAATACTCATTTGTGCTTAATTGTTATTTGTTTACTGTAATTTTTACCACTGAATATATCATTGCTTAGTTAATCTTAAGTTAATTTTAAGCCTGCCCATAATGCTCTGCATACAAGGGGCCTTTGGCATGTACACTTAACCACTGTATTTCTTTGTACATCTATGTGTCATGTCCAAATTAATAATAAATAAATAAATAAATAAATGTGATCAAGAGAACAGAAGCTGTGCCTGATAGTTTGACAGAGCTACTTTAGCTAACTAAATAATCTGGGCAGTGATAAAAGCATCATTGTCGTTAATGGTTGAGAGAATTTTTTTCACTACTGCTGGTCATCAATTGTGAAGAAGTTTCTGTAGATGAAGTGTTGCTCTCTGAAGCAAACAGCTTAGTTTGACATTTGTCATTCATATACATACTTGGCGATTTATCTGTGTTTGTCTTTCTTGGCATGCTGGAGGGGTACCTTTCCTGCACTGTCACAAATTTTTATTTGTGTCACAAAATCAACAGAATCCATGATGTTCATCTTTTTTCTTTGCAGCACCAAGGGGCCGAGTTTCTATCTGTTCAAGTCAACACATAAAAGGCGTGAGGCGGCGGCATGTTTTACCACCTGGTTTTTGTATTAAAGTGTAGTGAAAAGCAGCAACTGACCTATTCTTTCACAAACTACATCTGCTTAGCAATTATCCCATTACCTCTGGAATAAAAAGAAACTCAAAAGACAGGAATGTATAGGAGCTTGGGAAAATTATAGGAGAAAATAAGGGACCTTAATAAACAGAAAAATAGAATACTTGACACCCTAGCTAAAATACATTATTATTTCATATAAAATGAAATAAAGCAAACAAAAATATTTACATTAACTCTTACAAAAATTAATGAAAAATTTTCAGTTCAAATTAGTGACTATAAATGAAAATATTTACAAATTATATTTGATTAAATATGGGATAAAACATACTCTAACAAAGTCACCTCCTTGAATCATGAAATCTTTGATGACACGATGGAAACAGGCCCCCTTGTATCCCATTGGCACTCCATCCTTGCGATATTCTCCTGTGCAAAACTGACGAAAGTTTTCACTTGTCTTGGGACACACATCTGCATATAATTCCATAATCATACGTCCAATTTCCTGAAATTTATTTTAAAATTTAATATAAATTCTGAGGATTGAAAGTGATCACGCTGATTTTCCCAAAGATATCAAACAATCAGTGTGGTCCAAACTTTTCCTACCGGTGAAGAATTTCCCCATGTATAAATTTTGTAAAATGATCAGCAAGCACTAACCTAATCTAACTCAAAACCTAAATTATGTTGTTTTATAACTTATTATATTTTTTATTATCACACTGGCCGATTCCCACCAAGGCAGGGTGGCCCGAAAAAGAAAAACTTTCACCATCATTCACTCCATCACTGTCTTGCCAGAAGGGTGCTTTACACTACAGTTTTTAAACTGCAACATTAACACCCCTCCTTCAGAGTGCAGGCACTGTACTTCCCATCTCCAGGACTCAAGTCCGGTCTGCCGGTTTCCCTGAACCCCTTCAAAATGTACTTTGCTCACACTCCAAACAGACGCAAGTATTTAAAAAACCATTCGCCCCTTCACCCTAAAAACACGCTCACGCACCCTGCTGGAAGTCCAAGCCCCTCGCACACAAAACCTCCTTTAACCCCCCCCCAAACCTTTTCCTGGCCGCCCCCTACCCCGCCTTCCTTCCACTACAGACTGTACACTTTTGAAGCATTCTGTTTCGCTCCATTCTCTCTACATGTCCGAAACCCCCTCAACAAACCCCTTTCCCCACCCCCTGGACAACAGTTTTGGTAATCCCCCACCCCCCTAACTTCCAAACTACGAATTCTCTCATTATATTCACACCACACATTTCCCCCAACATGACATCTCCCCTGCCTCCCCTTCTCCTCGCTGCAACATTCACACCCTGCTTCACACCCCCTAAAGATGTTGTAAAACTAACTCTCATACATTCCCCTCTTTTCCTCCAAGGACAAAGTTCTTTGTCTCCACAGACTCCTAATGCACCACTCACCCTTTTCCCCCCCTCAATTCTATGATTCACCCATCCTTCATAACCCATCCGCTACACTCCACTGCCAAATATCTGAAAACATTCACCTCCTCCATACTCTTCCCCCCATCTGATACCCAAACTTTTTCACCTAATATTTTTGTTATCCTCATAACCTACTCTTTCCGTATTCACTTTTTCTTCTTTTGCCACCCTACCAAATTCTCCCCCAATCTCTGCAAATTCTCTCAGAATCTCCCAAGAGCACAGTGTCATCAGCAAAGAGCAACTGTACAACTCCCACTTTATGTGTGAAACTTACTTTTAACTCCCCCCCCTCTTTAAAGACCCTGCATTTACTTCTCTTACAACCCCATCTATAAAAATTAAAAACCCGGTGACATCACACATCCTTGTCTAAGGCCTACTTTACTGGGAAAAAATTTCCCTCTTTCCTATGTACTCTAACTTGAGCCTCACTACCCGTAAAACTCTTCACTGCTTTCAAGAAACCCTACCTCCTACACCATACACCTGCAACTCTGCCACACTGCAACCCTATCCACCCTGTCATAAAACGCCTTTTCCAAATCCATAAATGCCACAAAGACCTCTTTAGCCTTATCTAAATACTGTTCACTTATATGTTTCACTGTAAACACCTGGTCCACACACCCCCTACCTTTCCTAAAGCCTCCTTGTTCATCTGCTATCCTATTCTCCATCTTACTTTTAATTCTTTCAATAATAACACTACCATACACTTTACCAGTATACTCAACAGACTTACCCCCTATAATTTTGCACTCTCTTTTGTCCCCTTTGCCTTTATACAAAGGAACTATGCATGCTCTCTGCCAATCCCTAGTACCTTACCCTCTTCCATACATTTTTTAAAATAATTGCACCAACCACTCCAAAACTATATCCCCACCTGCTTTTAACATTTCTATCTTTATCCCATCAACCCCGGGCTGCCTTTACCCCTTTTCTTTTTAAACCTACTGCCTCACGAACTTCCCCACACTCACAACTGGTCTTCCTCACTCCTACAAGATGTTATCCTCCTTGCCCTATACACGAAATCACAGCTTCCCTATCTTCATCAACATTTAACAATTCCTCAAAATATTCCCTCCATCTTCCCAATAACCTCTAACTCTCCATTTAATAACTCTCCTCTCCTATTTTAACTGACAAATCCATTTGTTCTCTAGGCTTCCTTAACTTGTTAATCTCACTCCAAAACTTTTTCTTATTTTCAACAAAATTTGTTGATAACATCTCACCCACTCTCTCATTTGCTCCTTTTTACATTGCTTCACCACTCTCTTAACCTCTCTCTTTTTCTCCATATACTCTTCCCTCCTTGCATCACTTCAAATTTGTAAAAACTTCTCATATGCTAACTTTTTCTCCCTTACTACTCTCTTTATATCATCATTCCACCAAACGCTCCTCTTTCCCCCCCGCACCCACTTTCCTGTAACCACAAACTTCTGCTGAACACTCTAACACTACATTTTTAAACCTACCCCCTACCTCTTTCGGCCCATTGCCTATGCTCTCATTAGCCCCCTATCCTCTAATAGCTGTTTATATCTTTCCCTAACTGCCTCCTCTTTCAGTTTATAAACTTCATCCTCTCTCCCTGATGCTTCTATTCTCCTTGTATCCCATCTACCTTTTACTCTCAGTGTAGCTACAACTAGAAAGTGATCTGATAAATCTGTGGCCCCTCTATAAACAGTACATCCTAAAGTCTACTCAACAGTCTTTTATCTACCAATACATAATCCCAACAAACTCCCTGTCATTTCGCCCTACTTTCATATCTTGTATACTTATTTATCCTCTTTTTCTTAAAATATGTATTACCTATAACTAAACCCTTTCTAACAAAGTTCAATCAAAGGGCTCCCATTATCATTTACACCTGGCACCCCAAACTTACCTACCACACCCTCTCTAAAATTTTCCCTTCCTACTTTAGCATTCAGGTCCCCTACCACAATTACTCTCTCACTTGGTTTTCAAAGGCTCCTATACATTCACTTAACATCCCCCAAAAAATTCTCTCTCTCTCCTCTGAAATTCCTCTCTTCTCCGGGTGCATAAAACGCTTATTATGACCCCACTTCTCGTATCCAACCTTTACTTTAATCCACAAAATTTTCTTGCATTACACATTCATATTCTCTTTCCCCTTTCCCCTAACTGATCATTCAACATTACTGCTACCCCTTCCCTTTTGCTCTAACTCTCTCAGATACTCCAGATTTAATCCCATTTATTTTCCCCCCACCGAAACTTCCCCTACCCCCTTCAGCTTTGTTTCGCTTGGGGCCAGGACATCCAACTTCTTTTCATTCATAACATCAGCAATAATCTGTTTTCTTGTCATCTGCACTACATCCACGCACATTTAAGCATCCCAGTTTTATAAAGTTTTTCTTCCTCTTTTTTAGTAAATGTCTACAGGAGAAGGGTTACTAGCCCATTGCTCCCGGCATTTTAGTCCCTCATAAAGACAAAGCATGGGTTACGGAGGGGAAAAATCTTTTCCACTTCCCCATGGACAATAGAAGAAATAAAGAAGAACAAGAGCTATGTAGAAAAAGGAGAAAAACCTAGATGTATGTATATATATATGCATGTGCATGTCTGTGAAGTGTGACCAAAGTGTAAGTTGGGGTAGCAAGATATCCCTGTATCTAGCGTGTTTATGAGACAGAAAAAGACACCAGCAATCCTACCATCATGCAAAACAGTTACAGGTTTCTGTTTCAAAGTCATCTGGCAGGACGGTAGTACTTCCCTGGGTGGTTGCTGTCTACCAACCATAACTTACAGTTATATTTTAACAAACTGCTGAACCTACCACCTTAATAACTCTCAGATGTCAGTGATTTCAAAAGTTTGTTTCTTCAATGGACACCATTTTGATTACATAATGTAAATTACGTATAGTGGCCAACCTTGGCATAAAAAAAATGTAACCAACCCCATAAAAAGAGCAGCACTTGGGTCTTGAGTTCTGACTAGTTTGGAAGCCATCTTTTAAGATAATTATTGGAGCTTTTACCCCAAGGAACAAGGATCTCCAATCTTAATGGTACCAGGCCCCCAGGAGGCCTGGTCTGGGATCAAGCCATAGTTGCAGTGACCACCAGAATCAACTGCAGGAAGCTAATTATTATATCTCACAAAAATAAACAAAAATAAAGTTGCAAAGGTTAGTAGATGAGTTTGGGAGGGTGCGTAAAGGTAGAAAGTTGAAGTGAACATAGATAAGAGTAAGGTGATGAGGGTATCAAATTATTTAAAGAAAAAATGGATATCATATTGGAGAGAGGGAGTATGGAAGAAGTGAATGTTTTCAGATATTTGGGAGTTGACTTGTCAGCGGATGGGTTTATGAGGGATGAGGTTAACCATAGAACTGATGAAGGAAAAAAGGTGAGTGGTGCGTTGAGGTATCTGCGGAGACAAAAAATGTTATCTATGGAGGCAAAGAAGGGAATGTATGAAAGTATAATGGTACCAACACTCTTATATGGGTGTGAAGCTTGGGTTGTAAATGCTGCAGCGAGGAGGTGGTTGGAGGCAGTGGAGATGTCCTGTCTAAGGGCAATGTGTGGTGTAAATATTATGCAGAGAATTTGGAGTGTGGAAATTAGGAGATATGGAGTAACTAAAAGGATTAGTCAGATGGCTGAAGAGGGGTTGTTGAGGTGGTTTGGTCATTTAGAGAGAATGGATCAAAGTAGAATGACTTGGAGAGCATATAAATCTGTAGGGAAAGGAAGGAGGGGTAGGGGTCATCCTCGAAAAGGTTGGAGGGAGGGGGTAAAGGAGGTTTTAGTGGGCGAGGGGCTTGGACTTCCAGCAAGTGCGTGTAAGTGCGTTAGATAGGAGTAAATGGAGACGAATGGTTTTTGGGAGTGTGAGTAGGGTAATGTTTAGTGAAGGGATTCAGGGAAACCGGTTATTAGAGATTTAGTCCTGGAAATGGGAAGTACGTACAAAAGCCTGCACTTTAAGGAGGGGTCTGGGATATTGACAGTTTGGAGGGACTTCTAAACTGTCGTAT